CAGAGGCTTGGCACCATGTGGTGCTAGAGTTTGGACTTGAGTCCTGGCACATGGTGAGCACAGGCCATTGGGTTATCTCCCCAGCCCAAGAAGTGTTTTAGGGATGTTCTTGTTACATTTTTCTTCCAGTTTAGGGAGTTTGGGTTTGTTTGGTTGTATGTTTGATTGATTGATTGGTTGACTAATTGGTTGTTAGTTTTTGGTTGGTTAGTGTGGGGGCCAAAACTTGTTGTTCTCAGAGGTTGTTCCTGGCTCTGTGCTCAGGAGTGACCTCTCGTCATGCTTGGGGATTGTTTGAGCTGCTGGAGATTCAAGCTTGAATCTGTTGCGATCGCATGGGAGTCAGCTGCCCTTACCACCTAGACTATTCCTCTTGCCCTCTTTCCAGCTTTCTTAATAGTCTATCATAGTATATGAATATATCCATCTTATTAAACTCTTGACTCTGTTAAACTTTGTATTTTTATTATTCATAGTATGAATGGCAAAATGAATTGCTTTAAAACACATTAGCTTAATTCCAAGTAAGGTTGAATTATTTTTATATGGTTTATATTTCACCCTGTGTAGATTATATATAGTGGTGTCCTTTGCTAATTTTAAAGGATTCTGTTGCTTGCTTACACATTTTCTTGTTGATTCACATGATTTTTTAACTTTCAAAAGATAGTATTTATTGAAGATTTATTAGGGACTATTAAAAATTATAACATCAACCAACTAAATAACTTTTCTGGATGTTAGCCCCTGATATAGAGAGTTTATAAACTTGAGTCTGAAGAGAACACTCCAGTTAAGAGAGCACAGGCCTAACTCTGAGCCTGTTCTCTCTTACCTAGAGTCATTCCTGTATCTAACCATGGATCCTTTCTTCAGGAAGGATAAGAATGCACTAACACCTCTGCATGGTAATTTAGACAGTGACACCATAGCCAGTAATGAAAAGTTTATCCTATTAAGTAAATGGAATCAAGCTTGCATTAATCTAACTAAAAGTGAAACTGCAAATTATTCTACCACCTTTATGGGGCTTGGATATTCTGTGGACAGACAATGACTAGATCTTCATTTCCGATCATCTGTCTTATACCATTAGTAGTTATAAAACCAGAAACAGCTACTAAAACTTTCCTTTCTTGTGTCTGGAACCATGGTACAGTGAGTAGGGCACACTTGCCTTGCATGTGGCTGACCCAGGTTCAGTCCCCAACATCCGTATGGTCCCCCAATTAGTGCCAAGAGTAATTCCTATGTGCAGAGCCAGGAATAACCCCTGAGCATTGCCAGGTATGACCCTCAAAACCAAAAAAAGGAAAAGAAAGAAGCCAAAATCAAATTTTTCTTTTTTAAGTTTTTTATTTAGTTACATTTTGTCTGATGTAAGCCTAAGTACCTTCCTGACAGAGCTTATACTATAAGAAATATGGTTTTGAGGTAGATGCAATGAGAATGGCAAAAGTAAGTATAAAAATATCCAAATCCATGATATTTTTTGGTAATCTTTATTGGAAGGGTAGGGGGCAAGATAGATACCTTGTCCTGAATTAAGCATGCTTTTTATTGGAAAAACCTTACTTTGCAAGGGATTAATTTACCCCAAAATTAGTAAATGGAAAAAGCTTAAATATGATGGTTCCCATTCTTAAGCTATTTTGTTGTTGTTGTTGTTATTGTTATTTCTTTCAGGTTTTGTTTTGGTTTAGTTTTGGGTTCTGTATCATACCTGGCAGTGCTTGGGCAGTGCTTAAGGAAATTGTTGCAGTGCTCAGGGAACAAACCTGGGACAAACCATATGCTCCAGCCCTTGGAGCCGTCTTTCTGGCCCTCTTAAATGTTGTGTGTGGTACTTCAAAATGACTCTCACTAATCAAACATGTCCCATTCGTTAGCTAGGGCAGTGAGAAGTGGATTTTCTAAATCTCGATCTCAATTGAAAGAAACCTCAGAAATAGTAAAATAAATAAATAAATAAATAACAACTAGGAAGTTTTCCAGAGTTTCTGGAACTTGTCCCAGTGAGCATGTTTGTTTCAGCCTTAAACCTCAGATTTTCATCATCTCATACTAGGAAGAAAAGCTGTTGAAGTAGGTCTTTTCTCCCTGGATTCCCTGCCACACACAGGGATGTGAAGCTGGTCTGTAGTGCTGTCTCTCCACCACGCTGGCAAACACAGCTACGCCTCTGGCAAGAACGCAGTCACACATTTCATTGTTTCTTCTCTGCCTCAAGTCTGTAAATTAAAGCAGTTTATAACAATTAAGATTATTCTGCAAAAGCTCTATTTAATAGAGTCAAAGAAATCATTTGTGTAGAAATAGCTCCCAATATTTTTCATCTATTTCTTACCTGCTTGGCAAATAGATCACTCTTACAACTTTTCTGCTGCATAACGGGGCAGTAATACCACATTATCACCCATGTGTGTTCAAAATCTGACAGATTTTGAAATCTCTGAAACATATGAAGGGAATCCCAAACAATAATAAATTATACAGCAAGAAGGATTCACTTTCATGTCCTTCATTTAACTCATACCCTAGACCTGACTTCCTTAGTTTTGCCTACAAATGATGCCATGGGGGTTTTTTTGCATAGATTTTTTATTAAAAATAAACAGCATTTTTTTATTCTATTCTAGAAAATTGATTCAAATAATAATATAAATTTAAGGTTATTTAATGATACTTCTTATTAATAAAAAGTGAAAGTGATGCATTCAGTGAAAGAGCTATTCAAAAGGTCCTTCCATCTGGGGTTCAGGCTGAGCTCAAATAGCAATCTAAGAAGCCTTTAGATATAATGAATTCTATAAAAATTATATCATTAATTTTGGTAAAGAGATGATTTTTAACATGCAAATAAATCTTGAAATCCTGGAAATTATCTTTAATAATCACAAAGTACCTTTTATGCACCACTTTTAAAAAATAAATTTGATGTATAATATTAAGGGGACTTTATATTTCCAAAAGGAAAATGTGTATTAACAGTCAACTGGGCATTGATTATCCTATTGATCAATATATTCTATCCACCAAATACAGGTATATATACAAAGGTAAATGGATAGCAGTGTGAAACTAAACTGTTTTTACATGGCCTAATAGAAAAACAATATCATAGAATAATGTTGTAGAAAGCTTAATTCCAAACAATTTTCAGTCTCAAGCTTTTGTTCTTTTTCCTTTATTCATTCGTTTGTTTTGCCTTTTTGTTTTCTATTGTGCTGTGGAAGTGTCTTTGGATATGGCTGATAAACCCTGTTAAATAACCCTCTCATGAAATGGCTTTAGTTTTATCAGAGAATGGTCTAAATCAGCATATAAGATGATCAGATACCTCTTCCATTTGGAAAAAAACTAATATAGTGTTTAAGAATGACATTAGTTTATTATAAAAATGTTTTTGTCCAGAATATAACACTTTTTAGGTAAGTTTAAGTCATTTAAAGACAAGTTAATTTAGTTGCTTGTGGACACAAAATAAAATAGTTCCATTTTTCACGTGATTTTTTTTTAAAAAAGAGATGTTCTATCTTCATTGACTATTTATAAATGCCTGCATTTCCAGGCCAGCCCTTTAGGCGATTATATTACCAACCTGGTATCATTCATGTTAGGAAGTATATTGATTGTTTTATGCCAATGAAGTATCACTTGGGAAGGTGGGAATAATTAATCATTCAGTTATCATTTAGTATAATAGCAGCCTAACCCTTAGAAAGTTAGAAAGAGGCATTGCTGCCAAGGTGCATGGTTTGCTTGTGGAAAATGTTTACTCTCCAGGTAGATCAGACCATCACAGCACTGGAAAATACACACTATTCATCAAAATATTGCAAACATACTTAAAGAGAATAAATCTGAATACATGCTAGCTTTTGGAATGTGCAACAATTTTTTAAGTGTTGCTTTATTTTACATACAATTCATTTGTCTTAAAGCAATCACCAACTTAGTATTCACCAAATAGCATAGCATAAACTACACTCAGGTTTCTCAAGCCCTCTCCTGAAATTTAACAAAAATTTTTGTGAAAAGAATAACTGCATCATTTTAAAACTGTAGCATGAAAGCAAGAGGGAAACTAGATGCACAGGCAGCAAAAGCTTCTGCAACATTTTTTTTTTCTAATCCTCCAGGAGAGTAATTAGAATACATTACTTTGCCTTTTCCGCTGCAGATATACACATGGAGAAAACATAATCCAGAATGTTTGCGTGCAAAGTCCATAGCACATGTAGCTTGGTCTTTATTATTTCACTTAAATCATAAAATTGGTTATGAGACCCCCACATCTAAAAAGCAACCAGTGCCTTTAATTATTTTTTAAACCCCACATAGTCTAAGCTTTTCCCACTGGTAGAGCAGCTGCTACCATTTCCCTGATTCCCCTTTGACCACAGCCAACAATCCCAAGAAATGAAATCAGATTTTCAAAGACTAGATTCCCAGTCCCACTTAAACTTATGAACAAACCATATCCACACAAATAATAAAGGTAATAGTAGTAGGGTTGGCCCCTTCTTGCCAGGAAGTCAGTGCACGGAACTTAGAGGCTGCATTGTTGATTTGTTTAAGTCATTATGTTTTTCCTTCTGGGAATGAATTTTCATTTCAGTCTCTCTTGGGTCATTGATATTCTTAGAGGCAAAGGAACTCAAGACACAACTCTCTCTCTCAATTACTAGCAAATTTGAGTTTATTACAGTTTTGAAGAAAAAACAACCAACCAACCATACCCATGTAATTGGTTAATAATGATGTCAGTTATTTGACAACAAATGAACTGTGAATGAACAGCACCAAACACCACAAGTTAAATATGCTTTGAAATTCGTGAGTGCTGCCTTTGGTTTGGTGCAAGGGGCTGCAGGATGGCAAAATGAGAGGTTTATTTAGCGCCTGGGAGAAGCTTATAAAAGAGCTTTAAGTCCTCATTCCTTCTAACAACTTAACAGCTGTGCAGTTTCTTACAAAATATGTTTTATCGTTTCAAGAAATGCTGTTAACCTCGCAGTTTTAAAACTGAATGAACAAGGCCTCTTGGACAAATTGAAAAACAAATGGTGGTACGACAAAGGAGAATGTGGCAGCGGGGGCGGTGACTCCAAGGTCAGCCTCAATGTCACCAAAAGCGGGTAAACAGTGTCTCCAGTAATAGGTGCATCTGCTGGGAGACTCAAACCTGGGACCTCTGGATGCCTCCAGAAAGTGCTAGTCATGTCCCTCTTTGCAAACCCAAGTATGCAATTACTGTCAAAGCAAAAATATTCGCAACCACGATTGATTTGGAGACGCACTACCAAATTCAAGTAGGAACCGAGAGTCTCTGAAAGGCTCTGAAGAGGTTGTGGGTGAGACACCACAGTCCCGGGCGGCCATGGTTTGGAAAGCTGGAAGGCAGCTTGGTGAAGAGAGGAGGAGGAACGGAGAGGGGAGTCAGTCTTATTTCCTCAGCCAAGATGGTGACAGAAGTAGGAAATGTTTCTGAGTCACAGCAATGACCTGACTCTACGTTAATCTCAATTCTCTTGCTAAAACCCTCATGCTTCAGCCATGACAAATCCAAGGTAGTTTTTGCTGAATCCATGTCCCATTTGCAGCTTTTGGAAGCAGCATTGTTGTTTTTATTTCTTTAGACTAAAAAAATGAAAGGAAGTAGGGATGCAGCTAACAGGAATTAACTAGGTTTCCCTGAACCTTTATCACCGTGGAGACTCAAAGCAAACCGTCCGGAGATGGGAGTATTCTGACTGAAGTCTTTTCTTACATGTGGTAGTGGTAGGAAAAAAAGTGTTGAAAACGTAAAGGCATCGTCTTTGGGGGCAGAGGTGCCACACCCAACAGTGCTCAGATGCAAATCCTGACTCTCGCTCAGGGATCTTTCCCATGGCTTTGGATTGCAAGCCACATGATTGAACCCCTGACCATCTCTCTGCCCCTTCCTGTTTACCTTCAGAAATCTAGGGAATTGCCCCCAAGGAATGTCTTGTTTCTCATGGTTCCTGACATTCTCTCCCTTGCCTCACTCCTCCCAGAAGGCTGCTAGTCTTCAGGTGGTACCTTTATTGCTCATTTCCTTCCTTCTCCATGACAAAGCATTGCCTGTTTCTCTTACCTTCATACTGCAGACAAATAGCCAGCCTGATTGCAGGAGACAGACACTTTGGCCACAGAGGCCATCGTGAATGATGAGATAACCAAATTGTAGGTATCTGACCTGATTGTCCACCCCTGATCCAGAGAAAGACAGGGAGAGGCTGGAACATCCTCCTGAGTTCCCTGGGATGTTCTCTTTTAGGACAGCCCCCATTCAATGCACCAACATAGTCCTCCTCCTTATCTTCCTCTTCCTCCTCCTTCTCTTCCTCCCCCTCTTCCTCCCTTCCTCCTTCCTTCCCTCTCTCTCTTTTTCTCCCCTTTCTATGCCCTCTCTCTCTCCCTTCTCCCCCCTCTTCCCCTCCCCCTCTCTCTCCCCCTCCTCTCCTCTCTCCTCTCCTCTCTCCTTCTCCCCTCTCTCTTCTCTCTCTCTCTCTCTCTCTCTCTCTCTCTCTCTCTTCCCCTCCCCTCTCTCTCTGGATCATTTCCATTAAAGATATAAGGAGCTCCTGTAGTAGGGACTATCTCACCGGAAGCTAAATCTGAGCTCTCCTGAGAAAGAGTAGCTCCCACCAAGTGAGGCCTACAGACTGCTGAGTTGAAGCCTGTGCCAGTTTTGATTAATACATTTGAATTTCTAGTTTGGGGAAAATAATGACCTTCAAATATATATATAGATGTATATATATGCACATATATATCATATATATGCACTGTAGCACAGCACTTGTCCTCCCGTTGTTCATCGATTTGTTCGAGCAGGCACCATTTTTTTTGAGACTTGTTGTTACTGTGTTTGGCATATTGAATACATCACGGGGAGCTTGCCAAGCTCTGCCGTGCGGGCGAGATACTCTCGGTAGCTTGCCGGGCTCTCCGAGAGGGGCGCAGGAATTGAACCCAGCTCAGCCAGGCTGGCTGCGTGCAAGGCAAATGCCCTACCGCTGTGCTATAGCTCCAGTCCATCATATATATGATATTGGGGCCAGAGAGATGATACAGGGGAAAGACACTTGCATTGCATGCAGCCCACCCCAGCTCAATGCCATAAATTTTCTGGGCCCCCAGCAATGCCAGGAATGATCCCTGAGCACTGTCAGGTGTTGCTCCAATCTCCAATATTAAATAAATATGTTAATATGTATGCATCTATGCCATTCAAGTGTATATTCTTCCATGTATTAGAAATGTTTATTAGAAAATTAGCAAAGAAAAGACACTTTATCCCATTAGAAAATTTTTCTTGCAAAATTTTATTGTAAATATAAGAGAAGTGTAACACTACTTAATAGGTAAAATTTTTCCAAAAAGTAAATAATAAAATCATATTTTAGTACATAGCCCTTTTCCAGAGACAATAACCAAGCCAAAGCAGAAATGTATACAATTGACAAATCT